CGGTTCTGAAAAGTAAATGAGAAAATATGGCTGGCGATATTTTACAGCAATCAGAAGTGTTAGATGAACGAGAGGTCCCGGTGGGTGGGCCTCTGAGGCAGGAGAGCGAGGCTGAATGCTGGGAGCTCTTGAAGCACACTGATGGGTGACCAGTCTTGCTCAGGAACGGGGCCCATTTGGCTTGATCTTAGATGAGTATCAAAGTAGGACTGCTCTACAGGGGTTCTGGTGGCTGACCCTATAGAAGTGCATCACCAGGTCTTTGTCCTGAGGAGGCTCTGGGCGGACTTGAACCTCCAACCTGAGAGCTTCTGCACCGCAGCTCCCCCCCCCACTCACTTCACTATTGGTTACATTGAAGACCCACCCCATGAGCTTTTAGAAGTGGAGTTCCCATGGTCAGCATCAGCTGTTGCTGGGTAGTGTGGAGTTGACGCTGATGTACAGGCACCCCGTAGGACATAGCAGAGCTGCCCCATGCGGTTCCCCAGGCTGTCGACTGCTTGGGAGCAGAGGAAAACCAGGTCTACCCTCCGGTGGAGGAAGCCTCAGGCTGCACGCACTGACAGCTTTTCCGTTAGCAGCCAAGGGCTTCACCATCAGGCTGTGTTGGGCTGCTAACCACGAGGTCAACAGTTCGAAACCTCCAACCTCTCCGAAAGACGAGGCTTTCTACTCTGTCGAGAGTTACAGTCTCGGAAACCCACAGAGGCAGGCAGTTCTACCCTGTGCCATAGGGTCTCTGTGAGACAGCCCAGACTCCTTGGCAGCGTGTGTGTGTGTGTGTGTGTGTGTGTGTGGAGGGTGATTTCCCAAGGATGGACTACAGAGAAAGGGCCTTTCTCTAATGCAGCAGTTCTCAACTGTGGCTTGTGACCCCTTTGGGAATTGAACGACCCGTTCACAGGGGTCGCCCAATTCATAACAGTAGCAAAATGACAGTGATGAAGTAGCAACGAAAATAATTTTATGGTTGAGGGTCACCACAACATGAGGAACTGGACTAAAGGGTCGCAACATTAGGAAGGTTGAGAACCACTGCTCTAGTTTATTTTGCTACTTATTGGCGGCTCTGTTATAAGTTTAATTTAATTAATGAAGGAAGTTAAATGAATGACTTAAAGCAGATGTGGGCAAAGCTGATCTCTGGTTTTGTTCTGCCCCCTAATTACAGGTGCTCTGCGCACGCTCACAGAGCCTGGTGGGGCCGTGGTTAATTAAGCACTTGGCTGTAAACCAATAGGTTGGCAGTTCAAACCCACCCCACTGGTGGCTGAGCAGGAGAGAGACATGGTGATTCGTTCCCGTAGAAAATGTCAGCCCAGACAACCTCTTGGAACAGTTCTATTCTGTCATGGGGTGGCCGTGAGTCGGAGTCAACTGGGTGGCAGGCCAGCACAGCAAGTTGTTTGATCAGTTGCTCCAACACTGAGCAGACGGATGCCTCTCCCCGCACCCCCCAGCACAAACCAAAGGAAGGGCCGGGGATATTCTGCTCTGATCTTGCTTTCCTTACTTTGGGAGAAAGCAGTCTTAAAGTAAAACTCTGGGAAGAGAAAGAGAGGGAGAGAGAAAAAAATGTGGGAGGAGGCAGGAGAAAATAACATAAATGTTGATGATAGGGGGTCCCCATGGGCACCCTCAGGATCCAAACAGAAGCATTACCGGTTGCTCTTCCTTTCTTCAGAGGACCCCAAGGGGAGGATTACAGGCCCTGAGAGAGCTAAGGGGTGGGAAGGGGTCACACACAGTTCATGGCTCAAATGCTAATTAAAGCATCTGAGGGTTCGAGTCTGCCCCGAGGTAGCTCAGAAGAAAGGCCTGGCAACCTACTTCTAAAACCAGCCACTGGAAACCCCGCAGAGCACAGTTCCACTCTTATATCTGGGGGTCACCGCAAGTCCAAGTTGACTCAGGCCCCTGGTTTCGGGAGAATGGACCTACCGCTGGGTCAAGGTTCGAGATGTGTGCTTTCCGTAATAAAGTGCTCCTCAGGGACCTGTTACCAACCGTAAGGCCGACCAACAGTTAGCCAACGGTCACCAAACCCTAACTGGGGGAGCAGAGCGAGATGGCAACAACATAGGCCTTGCCTTGAACTGCAGGTCCCGCTGCATGTAATGCAGTAAATGCTACCTTTTCTGTAGAGTCGTACGCCCTCCTGGACCTGTCATGCCAACCTTCCCCGTGTTACCTGTGGACACATGAAGTGGCTGACAGCCAGCAGTTCAGAAAGGCCTCCTGCTCAGACACATGTGCAGTGTTGCTTGCGTTTCTCAGGGAAGCTGGAGAGCCCCACCATCCGGGTCCGAGGTGGCCTATAATCACCCCCAGAAGAACAAAGCCCCTCCCTTCACGCCACTGCCTCCGACGTTCTTGTCTCCGGCCTCCTCGGTGTGAAAGACAAGGCCTGATACCTAAGGGAAACGCAGGCCCCAAACTGAGGCCCGGCATCCTGCTCTCATCGCAGCTCATCCAAGTCTGAGTGAGGCTGCCGAGGGTGTAGGAAGGGGCCCGTTTTAGGGCTGCTCTCTCTGGGTGATTCAGCTGCTGTCTGCTTGAGTTGTATGGCCTTGTGGGTTGGAGCTTCCTTAGAAAGAGGCCCGACAGTTCTCTTAGACCTGGATCAACGCTGTCTAAAAGAAAGTTTTGAGAAGATTAAGAATATGTCTGAGTGCTGTGTCCTCTGAGATTGTTTGGTATGTTTGGCACGTTCTTTTGCTTTAACTTGGAGCGGTTCCGCCGGGGCTGCTAACCA